AATGTCATTAGGAGCCTAGTCCTAGGCAAGCGTTAGAAAAACGCTCCCATCAGTAGTAAACCAAAAACGCAGAAACCCAATTTTACTACTTGATCCCACTGATAGTTTACTATCCCCAAAAATAATATTTTCACTCAACACCAATTGACAGACGAACGACTGGGTGATATTGGCGGTTGCGCAAGCGGGTTTGAATCGGCGCTAGCGACATCATTTTCATGAAATGTTTGTTTATTAGAAGAGCTCTCTGTGGAAATTGGATTTGCTTGAGGAGATTGTCTATCATTATTGAGAGTTGCGGTTTCATGTAGCAACGTGTGATGTCTACCTGAACATGACCTACACCTATCTGAAGCACATTGATTCACAGTGTGTTTTGTGCCCAAATAGTTGAAGCACAATTTATTTTTTGTGATAACATTTCTTTTTTGTTGTATAGATAGTGAACGGAATTGTGAGCATTTATAAATCGAGTGATTTTTTCCCTTGCAATATATGCATGATTGAACTATCGTTCCCTATCAACAATTTGTTATTCATCTCTGTCTTCAATGTCATCCTGTATCGAACAATAATCATTGAATGCCTTAATTAACATGTATTCTCTGATAACAAATTCATTACTATTGAGATTTTCCCAATTTTCAATTGCAGGAGCGAAGTTCGTATACCACAAAACCCAAATCAATTTATTGCTTTCCAAGATGAATAATCTTCCACAAACACAACAACCCGCTGCAGAAGCAGCCCTCATCGCTCGTGTTTAAAGGGGAAACCCCGCAAACCAACGCGATCCCAGCGCTAAGAATACTTGGCGTTTACGCCCAGCCTCAAAACCTGGCGGCCAAAACCCCAAACCAAGCGTACCCAGTGCGCTTCCACCCCCCACGCAACTCCACAACACTGCCAAAGTGCAGATGTCAAGTGGAAGCCCGTCCGACGGATCAGTGTTTGCGACAGGCATCACTGTGCGAGAGACTGTCCAGAGACAGACTTTCAGCCCGTCCACCCCCGCCGCCATTGATATTTCGCGTCAAACGTACGCTGAATTGATCACTGACGACCCCCAGTTATCTAAAGTACTTCTCCCAGAGTACTTGGATTACTACACCACCGCCCTGATCTAGATGAGGATAGTCCACCTCAAACAACGCAACAGTCAGGCCCTAACCATTGCAGAACAAGACCTTCTGACTCTGGTTCAAACAACATCGTTCTGTGTCCCAGAACCACTGAACCTACAGGTTCGCCAACTAGGTAATGTTGTCACTGCAACAAAACAACATCTCTACCCTGAATTTCCACCTCTACCAGAAGTGGTCATTTATGATAGATCCGGGTACTACGGTGCCTTGATTCTACCCCCCCTGCCGATGAAGCCCTTCAGCACAATCTCTACGAAGAGATTCCCTGCTTAAAAGTAACATCCGAAGCAGTATGTCAAGCCATCTCAGATGCACCCCCCGGACGTTACGCGTCCGTCCTTGACATCGATCCTATTCATCCAGTGAATGAAAATTTACTGGGTTTTAGGCCCCTCGGTACTCGCCGAGCAGAAGCAAAGAATTAAGCATTCTCCAAAGGCATATTGCAGAAAATGCCTTCCCCGCATATCCTGTCAACACAGGATTTTGCATTGAGTTCCTCCAAGCAGTGTCTAGTGCTTTAGCAAGTACACGGACATTCAAGAACACAGACATCGTGTTCTCCACTCTCGCTGAAGCGGGAGCCCAATCACAAACAGTGATTTCCCGGCCCATAACTCAGGCCAATCATCCCAATATCAGAGGAGAGCAAAGACCTACCTCCCTGACCCAAGAGCAACCAGCCGTTTACGGCTCCGCCATCTTCTTCGACTCACAGTTGATGAAAGAACCCGGCCCCAACAACAACCATGCAACGTGGTGTTGCATCAATTTTCCACCAGAACAAATTCCAGTAGCCTGGAATCAAAATCGCAATGCAAGGAGAAATCTTCCAATTGCGTGCATGCAGCAAACCTTTCAAGTTGTATCCCTTAATGGACTCACCCATCGGATGAATGTCATTAAGAGCCTAGTCTTAGGCAAGCGTTAGAAAAACGCTCCCATCAGTAGTAAACCAAAAACGCAGAAACCCAATTATACTACTTGATCCCACTGATAGTTCACTATCCCCAAAAATAATATTTTCACTTAACACCAATTGACAGATGAACGACTGGGTGAAATTGGCGGTTGCGCAAGCGGGTTTGAATCGGCGCAAGCGATATCATTTTCATGAAATGTTTGTTTATTAGAAGAGCTCTCTGTGGAAATTGAATTTGCTTGAGGAGATTGTCTATCATTATTGAGAGTTGGGGTTTCATGTAGCAACGTGTGATGTCTACCTGAACATGACCTACACCTATCTGAAGCACATTGATTCACAGTGTGTTTTGTGCCCAAATAGTTGAAGCACAATTTATTTTTTGTGATAAAATTTCTTTTTTGTTGTATAGATAGTGAACTGAATTGTGAGCATTTATAAATCGAGTGATTTTTTCCCTTGCAATATATGCATGATTGAACTATCGTTCCCTATCAACAATTTGTGATTCATCTCTGTCTTCAATGTCATCCTGTATCGAACAATAATCATTGAATGCCTTAATTAACATGTATTCTCTGATAACAAATTCATTACTATTGAGATTTTCCCAATTTTCAATTGCAGGAGCGAAGTTCGCATACCACAAAACCCAAATCAATTTATTGCTTTCCAAGATGAATAATCTTCCACAAACACAACAACCCGCTGCAGAAGCAGCCCTCATCGCTCGTGTTTACAGGGGAAACCCCGCAAACCAACGCGATCCCAGCGCTAAGAATACTTGGCGTTTCCGCCCAGCCCCAAAACCTGGCGGCCAAAACCCCAAACCAAGCGTACCCAGTGCGCTTCCACCCCCCACGCAACTCCACAACAGTGCCAAAGTGCAGATGTCAAGTGGAAGCCCGTCCGACGGATCAGTGTTTGCGACAGGCATCACTGTGCGAGAGACTGTCCAGAGACAGACTTTCAGCCCGTCCACCCCCGCCGCCATTGATATTTCGCGTCAAACGTACGCTGAACTGATCACGGACGACCCCCAGTTATCTGAAGTACTTCTCCCAGAGTACTTGGCTTACTACACCACCGCCCTGATCTGGATGAGGATAGTCCACCTCAAACAACGCAACAGTCAGGCCCTAACCATTGCAGAACAAGACCTTCTGACTCTGGTTCAAACAACATCGTTCTGTGTCCCAGAACCACTGAACTTACAGGTTCGCCAACTAGGGAATGTTGTCACCGCAACAAAACAACATCTCTACCCCGAATTTCCACCTCTACCAGAAGTGGTCATTTATGATAGATTCGGGTACTACGGTGCCTTGATTCTACCCCCCCTGCCGATGAAGCCCTTCGGCACAATCTCTACGAAGAGATTCCCTGCTTAGGAGTAACATCCGAAGCAGTATGTCGAGCCATCTCAGATGCACCCCCCGGACGTTACGCGTCCGTCCTTGACATCGATCCTATTCATCCAGTGAATGAAAATTTACTGGGTTTTAGGCCCCTCGGTGCTCGCCGAGCAGAAGCTGAGAATTAAGCATTCTCCAATGGCATATTGCAGAAAATGCCTTCCCCGCATATCCTGTCAGCACAGGATTTTGCTTTGAGTTCCTCCAAGCAGTGTCTAGTGCTTTAGCAAGTACACGGACATTCAAAAACACAGACATCGTGTTCTCCACTCTCGCTGAAGCGGGAGCGCAATCACAAACAGTGATTTCCCGGCCCATAACTCAGGCCAACCGTCCCAATATCAGAGGAGAGCAAAGACCTACCTCCCTGACCCAAGAGCAACCAGCCGTTTACGGCTCCGCCATCTTCTTCGACTCACAGTTGATGAAAGAACCCGGCCCCAACAACAACCATGCAACGTGGTGTTGCATCAATTTTCCACCAGGAGAACAAATTCCAGTAGCCTGGAATCAAAATCGCAATGCAAGGAGAAATCTCCCAATTGCGTGCATGCAGCAAACCTTCCAAGTTGTATCCCTTAATGGACTCACCCATCGGATGAATGTCATTAAGAGCCTAGTCTTAGGCAAGCGTTAGAAAAACGCTCCCATCAGTAGTAAACCAAAAACGCAGAAACCCAATTTTACTACTTGATCCCACTGATAGTTTACTATCCCCAAAAATAATATTTTCACTTAACACCAATTGACAGACGAACGACTGGGTGAAATTGGCGGTTGCGCAAGCGGGTTTGAATCGGCGCTAGCGATATCATTTTCATGAAATGTTTGTTTATTAGAAGAGCTCTCTGTGGGAATTGAATTTGCTTGAGGAGATTGTCTATCATTATTGAGAGTTGGGGTTTCATGTAGCAACGTGTGATGTCTACCTGAACATGACCTACACCTATCTGAAGCACATTGATTCACAGTGTGTTTTGTGCCCAAATAGTTGAAGCACAATTTATTTTTTGTGATAAAATTTCTTTTTTGTTGTATAGATAGTGAACTGAATTGTGAGCATTTATAAATCGAGTGATTTTTTCCCTTGCAATATATGCATGATTGAACTATCGTTCCCTATCAACAATTTGTGATTCATCTCTGTCTTCAATGTCATCCTGTATCGAACAATAATCATTGAATGCCTTAATTAACATGTATTCTCTGATAACAAATTCATTACTATTGAGATTTTCCCAATTTTCAATTGCAGGAGCGAAGTTCGTATACCACAAAACCCAAATCAATTTATTGCTTTCCAAGATGAATAATCTTCCACAAACACAACAACCCGCTGCAGAAGCAGCCCTCATCGCTCGTGTTTAAAGGGGAAACCCCGCAAACCAACGCGATCCCAGCGCTAAGAATACTTGGCGTTTCCGCCCAGCCCCAAAACCTGGCGGCCAAAACCCCAAACCAAGCGTACCCAGTGCGCTTCCACCCCCCACGCAACTCCACAACACTGCCAAAGTGCAGATGTCAAGTGGAAGCCCGTCCGACGGATCAGTGTTTGCGACAGGCATCACTGTGCGAGAGACTGTCCAGAGACAGACTTTCAGCCCGTCCACCCCCGCCGCCATTGATATTTCGCGTCAAACGTACGCTGAATTAATCACTGACGACCCCCAGTTATCTAAAGTACTTCTCCCAGAGTACTTGGATTACTACACCACCGCCCTGATCTAGATGAGGATAGTCCACCTCAAACAACGCAACTGTCTGGCCCTAACCATTGCAGAACAAGACCTTCTGACTCTGGTTCAAACAACATCGTTCTGTGTACCAGAACCACTGAACCTACAGGTTCGCCAACTAGGTAATGTTGTCACTGCAACAAAACAACATCTCTACCCTGAATTTCCACCTCTACCAGAAGTGGTCATTCATGATAGATCCGGGTACTACGGTGCCTTGATTCTACCCCCCTGCCGATGAAGCCCTTCAGCACAATCTCTACGAAGAGATTCCCTGCTTAGGAGTAACATCCGAAGCAGTATAATAATAATAATAATAATACTTTTATTACCCCATCAAAATATGTTACATGACAATACATACAAATACAATAATTATAAAGTTAATAGGTTTTCGGTTCAGCTTTCAGCAACAGCCAAATCTGTTCTTCCACCGACCTTTATTCAATAATTGATTGATTGATTGATTGATTGATTGTCTTTATTACCCCAAGAAACATAGTTGTTTATAATAGGGATACATAAACATTATACAAATTATAATAAGATATAACAAGTTAAAAAAAAAAAAAATGCAAATAATCATGCAATATCAACCTAGTATTTTATAAGTAGGTATTCAAATAAGAAATGGAATTATCAAAGTCTCTGAAGCAGATATTTTTTTAAGTTAATTTTGAATCTAGTTGCTTCCTGTATATTCCTCAAATGACTTGGTAATGAGTTGTATAGAACGATTCCAGTGTGAAAAATTGATTGTTTGCCAATATTTGACTTGAACGTATTTGCTATTAGTAAATTTGATTGTCTTGTTCCATGATTATGTAATGAATTGATTTCATTGAAATTTAAATTCGAAATTTTCAATTTATATAGGACAAATTGAATAAAACAACAAATTTTAAGTTTATATAGCGATGTCAGATCTAATAAATCTCTAGGTTTGTATAAATTCATGGTTGGTTCGAGAAAATTTAAATTGAAAATACACTTCAATGTTTTATTTTGTAATTTCATTAGTGGACTCAAACGTGAAATATTGGTACTTCCCCATATAGATATTAGGTATTGAAATTTTGAGTAAATAAGAGAGAAATAAATACTCTTCAAGTATCTGGTAGAAATGAAATTTCGTATTTTGAATAAAATGCCTGTAATAGGATTAAGTTTGTTCCTCAAATGATCTATATGTTTATTCCACAATAGTCTTTCATCAATATAAAGACCTAAAAATTTTGTAACATCTGTATATTTGATGAGTTTATTGTTTAAGGATAGTGTTCTATTTGAAATGTTCAATGTTCTTTTTGCTATGTACATATATGAGGATTTGTTATAATTGAGAGATAGTTTATGAACTTGTAACCAAGAGGATATTTTCTCTAAATCACTTTTCATGTCCATGATAATATTATTTGAATCTTTAGAGAAATAAATCAATGTCGTGTCATCTGCAAATAATTTAAGTTTTCCTCTCAATTCCAAGTTTGATATTGAATTTATGTAGATCAAAAATAAAACTGGTCCCAAGAATTATATAAATAATATATACATATATATGCAATTTACAAAACAAGAGACACAGAGAGAGACAGATAGAGAGAGAGAGAGAGAGAGAAAGAGAGAGAAAGAGAGAGAGGGTCACTGAACGCTCAGTAAGTGTTTCTTAAACATAATTTTGAATTTTTCACATGTAATTTCTAGAAACGAGTTATTCATTTTGAAGAATTTGAAGATATCATTGATACAGACCGCTGAAGCATATGTAAAGCTACATTTGTACAGTGCCTTTGAATGTTTGGGTATACTTATAAGAGTTTGTCGTCGAATATTCAAGTTATGTACATCTGTTCTGAATGAAAGTTTCTCATGAAGGTAAGGAGGAGTTTTTGTTTTCAGTAAATTGAAGCATAGACAGGCCAAGTGCAGCTGTCTTCGGTTATACATGTTCAACCACTTTAGTTCAGTCAATTTATGTGAAGTGTGTTGACCTTTTCTAATTCCATAAATAAGGCGAATACATGAATTCTGCACTTTTTGAATGCGACGAGACTCAATACTACCAAGACAGGGACCATAAACTGCATCACAATGATTAAAATGGGAAAGAACTAAACTATCACAAAGCATTGTTTCTCAACATCAGTAGTTAAAAATTGACGTTGTGGATATATTAGTTTTAGGGAGGCATACGCAGCTTTAAGTTTATTATTGATATGTGAAGTGAAACTTAGTCTAGTATCTAAAGTTAATCCAAGATTTTTACACTGAGTTTTGAATGGTATTAGTGTGTCGCCGATTTTGAGTGAAATATTCTCATTACAATGCTGCTTTTGAGTTTCTTTACAAAAAATCAGTGCAGAACATTTATTTGGATTAAGTACGAGAGCATGGTCAAGTGATAACATATGAAGTGCAGATAGATCATTATTAATAGAAGTTTCAGCATCTCTTATTTCTGAGATGTCGAAATAATAATACAATTGCGTATCGTCCGCATAAAAATGATAATTGCAGTTATGTAAACAGTTGATAAAGTTAGAGGTATATAACGTAAATAATAATGGACCTAAAATACTTCCTTGAGGAACTCCAGGCAGTACCTCCAAAGTTGAGGATTTTTCATCACCAATTTGTACAAACTGTACCCTATCTTTGAGATATGAGCCTAATAAAGAGCAAGCTGATACACTGAAACCGAAATAATTTAGCATTGAAATGAGTATATTGTGATTTATTAGATCAAAGGCTTTGGAATAATCCAGTAAAATCAATATGAATATTTTGTTTTTATCCAGTGAATGGATGATTTCGTCAGTTACGTCAGCAAGAGCACTATTGCAGCTATAACCTCTTCTGAACCCAGATTGTTTCAAGGGAAGAATATTTTGGGTTTCGATGTATTCCTTCATTTGAGATTCCATTATCCTTTCAATTATTTTAGAGAAAGTGGGTAAAACACTTATAGAACGCAAGTCATTGTAACATGTTGGTAGTTGAATTTTAGGTAGAGGTATTACTTTAGCAATCTTCCATGTGATGGGAAAGTAATTATTTTCAAGACATTGGTTAATTATGTGTGTGATGAAAGGAATTATAAAAGGGCAGCATAAATCAATAATTGTAATATTAATATCATCAACACCAACGGCCTTAGATTTAATGTTTTTAATAACCTTATAAATAGTTTCCTCAGAAACAGGCTGGAAGCTAAATGTTGAATTAATACCTTGCTTCAAGTTATTACTATAATAGTTGATTAGTTGTTCATCAATAGGTCTAATACTTTTTGATGATGAGATAAAGAATGCATTGATGTCTTCAGCATTTCGTAAAGATTCCGGTATCTCGTTATTTTTAGTCTTTGATACATTGAGTTTTTTCAGTTCTTTCCACTGTTCTTTATATTCAGAATTACGAAATTTAAAATTCAAAAAAGCTTTTTTTTCTGCGTTTATGGCATTGGTAGTGAAATTTCTAAGTTGTTTATAATAAGACCAATGTTCTGGAACATGAGTGTTCTTAAATCTTTTCAGTGCCTTATCTTTCAATTTCTGCATGAGTCTTATATTCTCTGTAATCCATGGTAAATACTTTTTCATATTTACAAAACAAGATTTTTTGGGTGCATGAATATTCAATAAATTTATAATATTGTCTGTAAGAAGTTTAATTTTTGATTCAATGTCAGTTGCTGTTAATATGACATGCCAAGGCATTGAAATAAGATCAAGTTGGAATTTATCAATGTCAATCTTATCGATAGAACGATATGTAATTTGTTTCTTGAAATTCGAGCTGGCAATGTTCAGTTCAACTTGACATGCAATAAGGCAATGATCAGCTATCAAGTTATCATCAACTCTTGGAATACAGTCAGAAATATCAAAGTTAGTGATGATAAGGTCTAAAATAGTGGTATATCTTGTAGGCTCATTTATCAACTGGATAAAATTGAACGATTCCAGAATAGAGTTGAATTGCTGAGTATTTTTGCAGTCAACATCAAACATATTGATATTAAAATCTCCAACACATAGTATGATATTAAAAGATGAGAAAATATTAGAGAATGTATCTTCTATCTCATTGAAAAAATTACTCAAATTAGATTTAGGAGGCCTATATACAGTACCGATAATTATTGTAATGTCTTTTGAAATTATTAATTTTAACCATATGTGCTCAATGTAATCTTTTTGTTCATAAAGAATTATCTCAAATTTATATTTGTTTTTAACATCCCAGCAAACATGATTGAGCGGTAAATAGGCGGCCGATTGCTGGTAACTGCGGTTAGTTGTCGGCAGCGGCACACCTATGTCGTTAAAATGTTGAAACGACATCGGTTTTGCCGCCATGGCTGAACGTACGCATGTTTATAATGGATGTTTGTTATTCAGCCAGAAATTGCCCGTTTAAAATTCCCGACAATCGTGCCGATGTCGCTTTGACGCAGTATGTATGTTGTTTACAGGTCAGTGGTAACTGAACCAAACGCAATGTTGGCATCACTGGGTTTTTGAGCATTGGTAGTACTGCTAATTTATTTTCGTGTTTTAGTTCTGTGTCCGTAGATCGCGTCAGTTGTCTGTCACTTGTCTTCAGGTATTTGTTAAACGGCGTGATAATATTAATATTATTTAGAAAAAGTTGGTGAGTTTTATGATTGATCCCAGCAAACTATCGTCCGACATCAAGAATAATGATATATGTTATATAACAATAATTAAACTCGTTATTGTCTACCAATCCATTTTTGTGGTAATGATTTTGAGCTAAATATTTGTTCATTACCCTATATTATAACAATGATGCTCCAATGCGAAGTTCAGCTCTTTACCTATATTCGAAAAATATTTGATTCACAGTAATAGATCAAACACTGGAAAAGTAATGTGGCTAGAACATTATCAGACTAAACCTATTCTACGTCGTCGAATCAACAAGTTATGATAGGTATATCGTATATGATCAAATATCAAATATAATTGAAGTATTGTACTATTTCAATTCTGTTGACTGATGGATTCGTAATAGTATCTTTCAAGTTTCGCAGTAGCCTAGTGGTATAAGCGTCTGACAGTTGATTGGATATCCGTTCCGAATAGTGTCGGTAGATAGTCGGGCGGCCTACTAGCGGCCGGTGCGACACGGGCTAGCCGGGCCGACGATGTATCATGATTGTGGCCCGCTGATGTTGACTGTCGGCAGTTTTTGGAGGGCGTCTAAAGGCCCGCGCGATACATGTTTGCTGGGATACATACCAACACCACCACCATGAGTTGGTCTATCATTACGAATAAAAGTATACTGATTGAGATGTACAGTTTCACTACTAATTTCTGCATGCAACCAAGTTTCCGTGACTCCCACTACATCATAGTCTGCATCAATGATACGACTCTGAAAATCATCAAAATGTGGAATAAGAGATCTCACATTCACATGTGAGACGTTCAAATACATCTAGAAAAGAAGAGAAGAAAATGAAAAAAAATGTATAAGTAGAAAAAGAAAGAGAAAAAAAAGAATAAATGTAAATGTATACAATGTTTGAATCACCCTGTGAAGGTACAATAATTTCCAATGAAACAAACTCTGCTCCCGCTGATACATTTTAGTTATAAAAAAAAGTGATATAAATGTGGTTGGCTAAAAAAAAAAGGATGCATAAGTATGCCTATTCATGAAGACTTTTTTTATGCCTATAACTACACCAGCAACCAAAAAAAAAACCAATAATTAAGCAGTTTAAACTTAATTGAATTAAACAATTCTTGTGCATTGTGACAACTACGTAAACAAAATGAAAATGTTCTTATCATAGTCATTCTGTAGGATAGATAAATAACTTCTATTCCAGGTAGAATTTTGTTTTTCTTAAACATATCTTTGGAATTCATCTTGGAATAAACACTTGATATATAAACAAAAAAATTAATATTCCGAATAAGTTAAGGTACTATCAACATATTTGTGACATCTACATAGTAATAAATTCTAAACATGAAATGATCTTTCTCAACATATGAATGAATGTTCAATTAGGCACCAAATCATATATGTGGCCACAGAAAACAAAAATTAGTAGTCATAAAATACTAATGCAATCAAATTTCCAGAGGATTGTACAATTTATTATGAAGGGGTGCCTGCTATATCATCTTCATCAAAAATTCTTCGAACTTCATGATTGTGCTTGTAGTACAAGTTACCATTTCGGCTCCACACATTTTTTCTTTCAAATTTACGAACTGCATTCTGCATTAGAGTGAGTCTATATCTTGTAAGGTCTTCCTGGATAGAAATACCAGTGGATTTCAGTAATTTTCGATTTTTGAGAATAGATTCACGGACTGATATGTCACTTAACCTCACTAAAACAGCAGGTGGACTAGGAGGTTTTGAGCCATCATTGTTTATATTTCTGCTGGGAATTCTGTGACATTTTGTAATATCTGAATCACTTACTGATTTTTCAGCTTCTCCTGAATGATTTTGAGAGTTACACTTCTCAGATTTTCAGATTCATTAACCTGAATACCAAATATTCGAATGTTTTTCAGTCTTCCTTGTTGTTCTAGATTATCATTGCCTAGTGCAAGTTTTTTATTGTTGTTTTTGAGTTCTTCCATCTCCAACTTCAGGTCTGAAATGATTTCATCATACTCTCTTGAAATATTACTTATAATTTTATCAGCGAACTTCTGCAAATAATCATCATTCATGATATTTTTAATTTTTGATTCCACAATGCCAGCGATCTCATCAAGATCTCTTCTTGTAAGGCCCATATTTATAGGTTAGGAGCTGACACATGCACTTCGTATGTTATTCAATCGATGTTATTTGTTCTGCCACAAACTTTTTTTAAGCTATTAGATGACAACGAACACCAGATTTACAGATTACAGGACTGCTAATGATGATTTCATCACTTTTATAGAAATAAATTGAATTATTCAACAGCAGGAACGAAAGCGTGTTTACTGTTCCGCCATGCGCAGTATATGTCAAGCCATCTCAGATGCACCCCCCGGACGTTACGCGTCCGTCCTTGACATCGATCCTATTCATCCAGTGAATGAAAATTTACTGGGTTTTAGGCCCCTCGGTGCTCGCCGAGCAGAAGCTAAGAATTTAGCATTCTCCAATAGCATATTGCAGAAAATGCCTTCCCCGCATATTCTGTCAACACAGGATTTTGCTTTGAGTTCCTCCAAGCAGTGTCTAGTGCTTTAGCAAGTACACGGACATTCAAGAACACAGACATCGTGTTCTCCACTCTCGCTGAAGCGGGAGCCCAATCACAAACAGTGATTTCCCGGCCCATAACTCAGGCCAACCATCCCAATATCAGAGGAGAGCAAAGACCTACCTCCCTGACCCAAGAGCAACCAGCCGTTTACGGCTCCGCCATCTTCTTCGACTCACAGTTGATGAAATAACCCGGCCCAACAACAACCATGCAACGTGGTGTTGCATCAATTTTCCACCAGAACAAATTCCAGTAGCCTGGAATCAAAATCGCAATGCAAGAAGAAATCTTCCAATTGCGTGCATGCAGCAAACCTTCCAAGTTGTATCCCTTAATGGACTCACCCATCGGATGAATGTCATTAAGAGCCTAGTCTTAGGCAAGCGTTGGAAAAACGCTCCCATCAGTAGTAAACCAAAAACGCAGAAACCCAATTTTACTACTTGATCCCACTGATAGTTTACTATGCCCAAAAATAATATTTTTACTTAACACCAATTGACAGACGAACGACTGGGTGAAATTGGCGGTTGCGCAAGCGGGTTTGAATCGGCGCTAGCGATATCAATTTCATGAAATGTTTGTTTATTAGAAGAGCTCTCTGTGGAAATTGAATTTGCTTGAGGAGATTGTCTATCATTATTGAGAGTTGGGGTTTCATGTAGCAACGTGTGATGTCTACCTGAACATGACCTACACCTATCTGAAGCACATTGATTCACAGTGTGTTTTGTGCCCAAATAGTTGAAGCACAATTTATTTTTTGTGATAAAATTTCTTTTTTGTTGTATAGATAGTGAACTGAATTGTGAGCATTTATAAATCGAGTGATTTTTTCCCTTGCAATATATGCATGATTGAACTATCGTTCCCTATCAACAATTTGTTATTCATCTCTGTCTTCAATGTCATCCTGTATCGAACAATAATCATTGAATGCCTTAATTAACATGTATTCTCTGATAACAAATTCATTACTATTGAGATTTTCCCAATTTTCAATTGCAGGAGCGAAGTTCGTATACCACAAAACCCAAATCAATTTATTGCTTTCCAAGATGAATAATCTTCCACAAACACAACAACCCGCTGCAGAAGCAGCCCTCATCGCTCGTGTTTAAAGGGGAAACCCCGCAAACCAACGCGATCCCAGCGCTAAGAATACTTGGCGTTTACGCCCAGCCTCAAAACCTGGCGGCCAAAACCCCAAACCAAGGGTACCCAGTGCGCTTCCACCCCCCCACGCAACTCCACAACACTGCCAAAGTGCAGATGTCAAGTGGAAGCCCGTCCGACGGATCAGTGTTTGCAACAGGCATCACTGTGCGAGAGACTGTCCAGAGACAGACTTTCAGCCCGTCCACCCCCGCCGCCATTGATATTTCGCGTCAAACGTACGCTGAATTGATCACTGACGACCCCCAGTTATCTAAAGTACTTCTCCCAGAGTACTTGGATTACTACACCACCGCCCTGATCTGGATGAGGATAGTCCACCTCAAACAACGCAACAGTCAGGCCCTAACCATTGCAGAACAAGACCTTCTGACTCTGGTTCAAACAACATCGTTCTGTGTCCCAGAACCACTGAACCTACAGGTTCGCCAACTAGGGAATGTTGTCACCGCAACAAAACAACATCTCTACCCCGAATTTCCACCTCTACCAGAAGTGGTCATTTATGATAGATCCGGGTACTACGGTGCCTTGATTCTACCCCCCCTACCGATGAAGCCCTTCGGCACAATCTCTACGAAGAGATTCCCTGCTTAGGAGTAACATCCGAAGCAGTATGTCAAGCCATCTCAGATGCACCCCCCGGACGTTACGCGTCCGTCCTTGACATCGATCCTATTCATCCAGTGAATGAAAATTTACTGGGTTTTAGGCCCCTCGGTGCTCGCCGAGCAGAAGCTAAGAATTTAGCATTCTCCAATGGCATTGCAGAAAATGCCTTCCCCGCATATCCTGTCAACACAGGATTTTGCTTTGAGTTCCTCCAAGCAGTGTCTAGTGCTTTAGCAAGTACACGGACATTCAAGAACACAGACATCGTGTTCTCCACTCTCGCTGAAGCGGGAGCCCAATCACAAACAGTGATTTCCCGGCCCATAACTCAGGCCAACCGTCCCAATATCAGAGGAGAGCGAAGACCTACCTCCCTGACCCAAGAGCAACCAGCCGTTCACGGCTCCGCCATCTTCTTTGACTCACAGTTGAAGAAAGAACCCGGCCCCAACAACAACCATGCAACGTGGTGTTGCATCAATTTTCTACCAGGAGAACAAATTCCAGTAGCCTGAAATCAAAATCGCAATGCAAGGAGAAATCTCCCAATTGCGTACATGCAGCAAACCTTCCAAGCTGTATCCCTTAATGGACTCACCCATCGGATGAATGTCATCAAGAGCCTAGTCTTAGGCAAGCGTTAGAAAAACGCTCCCATCAGTAGTAAACCAAAAACGCAGAAACCCAATTTTACTACTTGATCCCACTGATAGTTTACTATCCCCAAAAATAATATTTTCACTTAACACCAATTGACAGACGAACGACTGGGTGAAATTGGCGGTTGCGCAAGCGGGTTTGAATCGGCGCTAGCGATATCATTTTCATGAAATGTTTGTTTATTAGAAGAAATTGAATTTGCTTGAGGAGATTGTCTATCATTATTGAGAGTTGGGGTTTCATGTAGCAACGTGTGATGTCTACCTGAACATGACCTACACCTATCTGAGGAACATTGATTCACAGTGTGTTTTGTGCCCAAACAGTTGAAGCACAATTTATTTCACAGGAAGGAAGGAATGCTCGAAGTTATCTCCACAAATTTGTGGAGATGACTTCGAGCATTCCTTCCTTCCTGTGAAATATTTCACTCCACTTTGAGCAATATGGACTTCTACCAAAGATTCACAATTTATTTTTTGTGACAAAATTTCTTTTTTGTTCTATAGATAGTGAACTGAATTGTGAGCATTTATAAATCCAGTGATTTTTTTCCCTTGCAATATATGCATGATTGAACTATCGTTCCCTTGCTTGAGAGTGTCGAGTTGTTTGTAACTGTGTAAGAAGCTTGTGGAAAGCGAGTTTGATTGGGATATTTATTCTGTTTGAATTTATTTTCTGACTGAGAGACAGATCCTAGCGCTGAACAACGCTTATCTAAAAATTCCAAGAATTCTTCCAATTTGGGAACTTTGACGGAGTCTCTTTCTAATTCATAAGCCTTGAATCATTGAATGCCTTAATTAACATGTTTTCTCTGATAACCAATTCATTACTATTGAGATTTTCCCCGTTTTCATGTTCAGCAACAAAATTTTCAATCCTTGTGATGTTGGCTTTGGAACTTCCTCGTTTTCTGACGAAATCTTCCATGTTACTCGTGTATTCCAAACAATGTGAATGAATGAATGATGATCTTTTCGTAAATCAGCAAATTGAAGTGAATTACAAAGGGCTATCAAAAATGACGTTGAGAACTGTCAGTCAAATCAATAGCCAATCTGTTCAAATAGGAATTAGAAAGTTCTGACCTCGTGAATCCGCGGGCTCTGAGAGATATTCAGGCGGCAAACTTCTTACTTCCGTCTTCTTCGCAGCAGCTGAGAGGGGTTGAAGTCTGATGTTTTGTCAATAACCTGGGACGAGAGAGCGACTTCTTCCAAGTTGAAACCTTTGCGACCGATGTTTTGAGTGCACGAAATAAGTCTTCCACTGGTTGCCAATCCAGGTCGAAGAGACCATGTAAGGGGGTTATTGGGGTGAAGGGTTCGAAGGACCGTATAGAGTTGAGTAGCGTAGACCAGAAGATTCTTTTTCTATTACGTATATTCGACAATTCGTTATAAAAGTTGATTACAGATAATAATAATCCAAATTAAGATATTTGACAACTTGTCAGAATTATTAGGGAAACAGTAGATGATTGTTTTCTAGTTGCTCATAGACACCTTCGTGTTCATGTTTAATACAGGGTGATGAAATGTTTGGAAGTTTACAACACACAAGTCTTCCGGTTTGGTCCAATACTTTTATGGTAATATTATTTATTGTTTTGTCACTTATCCTGAAATATATCACGGTTTCGATGTTCAGAACAATCTTATAACCAGGAGCCACTGTCGGAAAAAAAGACAATAGCGAGTGGGCTTCTTTGCCGTTATGGTAGCTGCCTGTTGCTATGTTGCAATATATACTGATAGCATTGACACCCAAGATGTTCACTGATTTATCAGACGTATGTTGTTGATATGCTTCTAGAACACGATTATTGAATCCCAGTAATTCTCTAATCGTGCGGTCGTATTTGAAATTAATCCTTCTATTTGTATCGATGACTACTTTCAATGTATTGAAATTTGGTATGATATTTATTTTTGCATCCTTATCGATATCTTTGACTCGTGAAGAAATAATTTCATTGAGATCACTGATTTCGTATGAGCCCTCAGGAATTGTAATGGAGTTATCATTGTTACCGAATACGAATTGATTATTATTTTCATCAACATTCGGGATGACATTGAAAGTTTCAAAGCCAATCAATCCAATTCCATATTCTGCATTTTCTTCTAAATAAATGGGAGGGTTGAAGTCAGAACTCAAAACTGAGGAGGTGCCAGAAAGGGAAAATGATAATGACATTTCTCACCACTTCCAATAATGGACTACTTGAATTTCAAACATTATATTCATTATATAAAAATTTGAGACATAAATGTCCACAATTATATGGATTGTTTGCTTGAATATTATCATAATTATATTTTATTATATTAAAGCTACCATCACTATTGAAATATTTGATGAGTTCGAGAGGTGGTCTTTAGTCACCGTAGCTGTCAAAGTAGGAGATATGACGTCCGGATGTTTTATAACACACCCAATGACTGCCTTTCTCACTTTTTCTGTTGAGGTTAGCTATGCCACACTCATATTTCCGGATTTTCTCAGGAAATTCATCCAACATAAACACCCCTCGAAAATACGGTATTTGTAATTTTTTTACAAATCTCAATAAATCTACGTTGGTCAGTGGACGGTGTGGTAGCTTCAAATTCAGTTTTTTGGATACGGTTTCAGAAACAATCCTAGACCATGTTTGTAAGGTTTCATTAATAGGCCTTTTCCCAAGGCGGCCTGCTCCATTTTCAAATTGTGTCTTTTGTTCTCTTCCAGTTGTGCTCTCGCTGCTTTAGCTCTATTTATAGCTTGCGCAATTCCAGCAGCACCACCACCCAAGCTACCGAGTGCACCAAGTGCAGCAAAGAGGGGAATCAGTGGAATAAAACCCCCCGATTTGGGAATGGGAATAATTCTTTTTCTAGGCTTCAAAACTTTTCTACCACCATGATAGTGCTTGTTGGGCAGCCTAGATAATGTCAATATTTCTTTTACCTCTGACCCCTTCCTTTGCTATGCGAATAGCTCGAGTGAAACTGATTGCTCCTCCCACCTTTTTCTTACGTCTTTTATTTCTCTTCCTTTTTGCTACCATCATCTCATTATTCAATCCCATACCTAGTTTGCTTTTAGTTTTCATTATTCCTGCAATGCCAAGCGAGGCAATTCTCTCACCAATCTTTGAGTTCTTCTCACTCAAACGTCTTGATGCTTTTTCAGCCAAAATTCGGTCTGCTTGGTTCCTTCTTCTCAAATCCGCGTATTAAGAATAGACTATGTCGTGTTCTCTACAAGCTTCGTCTAGCGGGTTGACACCTCGATCCCCACGTTCAAGTCTTTTGATTTCGATAACCTCATTACATTACATTACAGATTCATTCATAACGATGTATGCTGATGACACATCCCTGGTGGTATCTAATAAATTAGATCACCTTCTGTTTGAGAAGTGTGAAAGTACTATGAAGTCAGTTGTAAATTGGTGTGGAACCAATTCATTGTACCTCAATGCTGACAAAACACAGCTGGTGAGATTCCACAATCGTCAAAGACTGTGCGAAGAAGTACAAATTCAAATAAACGATCAAATACTCAACAGTTCAGATTATACAACATTTCTAGGAATCACCATGGATGCTTGTCTAAATTGGAAAAAACACTGCACCCTCGTGATGAACAAACTGAATTCATTGTGTTACCTTTTCAGAAACCTCAGGAGCATTTTAACAGAACAACAATTATTATCATTATATCATGCTCAAGTTGCGTCAAGATTGAGATATGGTATATGTGTGTGGGGTAACTCTACACTAGCATCAGATGTATTTATTGTACAAAAAAGAAATATCCGTATAGTAGCAGGAGTTCCTAGTTCATTTTCGTGTAGAGGTTTTTTTTCGAAAATTCAGAATTTTAACCCTATCTTGTATATATATTTATGAACTGTCAATCTACGTTTTCAAAAACAAGCATAGATTTCCTTCAAATGAAAGTATACACAATGTGAACACAAGACGAAAACGTGATCTGCATGTTCCGTTTCGTCAATATAAAGGTTCTTACTATTTTCAATAAGCTCCCTAGGTGTTTGAAAGATACAACGAAGCTCAATAAATTCAGTAACTTGCTGAAGAATTATTTTATCGAAAAATGTTTTTATAATTTACAAGAATTTTATGATTCATAAAATGTAAGTGTATTTGTGCTGTATTCTATTTTATTTTTTCTTGTTCCCATTTTGTGAACAACGGTGTTGCTCACACTGTGGACTGTATTTTATGGCTTTATGTGTACTTTGACGATTTCAATACATGTTATCTGTGTCTAATGGGAAATAAATATTATTATTATTGGACAACTTTGTACCTGGCCCACAAAAATTGTAACCAGGTATATGAAGTTCAAAAGGCAAATTATTTATGAGAGTGTTTAATAATCCTGCTCCCTCAGTATTCAGTATGTCAGAGATGAAAGTAAAGAAACATAAAGTAATTCTTCCCGTGACCAATCATGATAATTTGATAATTCCACACCAGCTGAAGAAACATGGAGATATATTCGAAGGAAATTCGAAAAGGGGCCTCCTGGTAGGTTCATCAGGATGTGGAAAAACCAACTGTATGATAAGTTTGCTCGATGATCCGAACGGTTTGAGATTTGAGAATATATATTTGTACTCCAAATCTCTCTATCAGCCAAAATACGAATATTTGAGAACTCTCTTCAAACCTCTAAAAGAAATAGGATATTATGAATACAACGATGGTGATGAAGTGATATCTCCGAACGAAGTAGCCCCGAACTCAATAATCATATTCGATGATGTTGCAACATGCAATCAAAATATCATCAGAGATTTCTTTTGCTTCGGACGTCATAAAAATACTGACGT